AGTATAATCCGAAACCCGAAACTATTTTCGTGATGACGAAATGGTTTCGTCTGACGAAACCTCTGACGAATCTATTTGATTAATGAAAAATCAAAATACAGTTAACTATTTTTCATCAAATTTTTTTCCGGATATGCTGAAACTTAAATTTTTTGCAAATTATCGTTATTTCATTAGAGTTTCACGGTTCATATGGACACTGGACTTCTTAATCGATGATAAACCCTTTTCTTCTAAATTATCAGTTCATTATAACTGGTGGTAAAAGCTTCTGGACAGGGCCTTTTTTTTTAATCGCCAATATATTTTGATTAACATTTTAACATTATACCAGTATGTACATATGGTGGATATAAAATTAATTTTTAGTTTTAGGGATCTACATGCACTCTGTCCGGTCACGGTAATCGAGTGCTATAAACAAAGACGAGAATAACAGAAAAAGCCCAAACTTCTAATAAAAATAGTACCCTATCAAGGGCAGAAGCCCTTGTGCCAAGAAAAAGAAAGTCTGAGGAGTGGATGCTTAAAATAAACGGTGTTAAAATGTCAAAAATCCATGATACCCGGTCAAAATCTAAAAGGGGGTCTGACAACAAAGAAAATCTTAACCCAAGAACAACAATCAACGAATCTGGAAACAAGCCCTCGGAAAGAGAAAAACAGGACTCCAACAAATGGTTTGATATGACTGAAGAGGAACAAACACAAGATACAATTACCTTTGAAAAGCAGGCTGTAAATGATGCTCCAATGGAAAACTATATGGAAAGTTCTGGAAAGTTGGTAGATTCGAGGTCACATGATACAGAGACGACTGATTCGACAAATCTGAATATCACACCCCAGCTACAAAATACATCTGTAGGAGTTGGACCTGTAAAAAGAACGGACAAGGAGGAATTCTCAGAGAAGACTGCTCAGACATATAAATGGTCTAGCTTATTTACACAATTGCGAAGAGGGCAAGCTAGGTTCTCAAAGTATACACCAAGAAAAGAAATCTCAACAAAGAACAATAATGCACTTGTCTTGGACATCCGTAATTTAGAAGAAATTCCAATGAATGATATCATTTCAACATTGTATAGTAAGATAGGAGATGACTTTGTTGGGGCGAAGCCCCATTTTATTAAAGGAAAGAGAGCTTACTTGGAAGTTGTTTTTAGCAGCGAAGAGAAGCAACAAAATTATGCAGCAGAGGGTATTTCTCTATTCAGAAGAACACTGTTGGGTTACATACCTACAAACTTACATAAAACACATTTAGCTGTTAAAATAAAAATGTACCTATTGGGAATAAAGATTTTATTTCAGATAAACTTTAGGAGGCATTTGAGAGTTTCGGAATCATTAAATCTATTAAGCCCTTGGTGTATGAGAACACTCCAGTCTGTACGGATCAATGGATTGTCTTATATGAAACAACAGATAATCCAGAATTAGAACAAAGAATTCCAAGGCATACCAGTGTGTGGGAACAGAAAGTTACAACTGAATAGAAGGCGGCCCCCAAACTATGTTTATACTATGATCAACCTAGTCACTTTAAAAAGGAATGCCCACAATTTAGGGAGGCAATGGAAACAAGAAAGCAATATAAGAAATATAAAGAAGCTATGAAACAAAAACGAATACATTCTGAAGGAATCAATTTCAACCAAGAAAATGCATATCTGAAATATCACAATGAAAATAATGAACATGCAAATGAAGAAGAAACAGAACTCCTATTACAAGATGGTGATACACTAGAGAACATGATAGAAGAAAGCATACATGAAGATATTGATCAAAACATGTCAGATAAATCAATGCAGTAGGACAAAGTTAAGGAGAACCTACAACAGAAGGCTTCAAACAAATCAGCATATTCTAATGAATTAAGCCATTAAGCACAAGATCACAACCCCAATAACATGGAAATATCAACTACAGATGCTGATTATATATAAAGGCAATTACAAATACAGGGAGTTAATGAGGAAGCCTCGATAATGGATGATGGGTTTACAATTGTCAAATATAAAAAGCATATTAGCAAAGCCTCTAAATCAAGGAAAAAAATACATGCACAAGATAATAGAACTAAGCCATATGAGACCTCTAGACTATCTCGCGATAGTTAGCATTATTAATTTAGAATTAGCCATAGATGGTATTGAAAGTATAAAATCCCTTACTTAATCATAACAATAAATCACAAAAATACTTTCAAAATTGTCACACTTAACATTAAAGGATGAATAATAGGTATAAATGAATAGAGATACTCATGTTGCTCAAAAAATACAGGCTAGATTTAGTTCTGTTACAGGAAACTAATCTAACAGATGAAGGCATAAAGAATTTCCTGAAAAATCAATAGATATTCAACTCTGTATAGACAATGAAAATAGCTATTTTGGCTGGAAATGCCAATATTAAATTTAAAAATATCAAAGAATTACATCAGAGAAGAGTACTTTGCACTAATTTTTATTTTAACAAACGACAGTTTCAAATCACTAATATTTATGCCCTACTATCATTAGATAAAAGAATAAGGTTTTTTGATTCATGGACAATATAAACCAATGATAATGCAATTAATATTGTAGCAGGTGACTTTAATGTAAACCTTGATTCAAACACTAATAGAATAAGTCATTCCACATTATACAATAATCTATCTAAATTAAAACTTGAAGAATTAACTTGGAATATAGTTAACACTGTGATAGTAACTACTAAAATACCTTTTCTCATCTTCTTCTAAAAAACAAAAGGAAGATACACAATAGCTATGAGGTTAGATTATATTTTTGTTGAAGAACAATATGCACAATATTGCAAAAAAACAGTTACTAGATTTGGCAACTCTGATCATTTACTAGTGGAGAGTGAAATAAACTTCTTCAAAAACAGAACACAGGCAGCTTATTGGAAGGTGAATTCCAAAAGTTTAAAGAATGAAATATTGCATAAGGAAATTATAGAAGAATTATATTTAATTAAAGAAGTTAAGAAGTAGGATCATTGTAAGTGTAGAATTCAGTCTATTATAAGAGCCAGAAGACATATTAAATCTCCAGAAAATAATATTGAACAATTAAATAAGAAAATTATAAAGCTGGAGATAAAGATCACCAAAAATAAGAATATGACTGACTTACAGTTAGTAGTTAATAATTTAAAGAAAAAGTTACAAGATAAGTTAGTGAACTTATCTGAAAAATAGCAAATCCGTTTTAATACCAGATAGATAGAACAGAGAGAAAAGTTAACTAAATACTTTTACTCTCATTATAAAATAAGACATAATGCATCTGTAACAGATAGAGTTAAAATTCTGAACCATCCAGAGATGATTAATCTAATCGAGATATTATAATATAATAAGGAGCAATATAAGTATTTGTATCAAGCTAAACAAATTAGAGAAGAAGTAGCTAATGAAATAACAGACTTATTTCCACAGATAGATGATCTGAACAATTACAATCTAATTAAATGTATCTCAAAAGAAGAGATTAAAGAAGTTATAATGAGTCTCCTGAATAATAAAGCATCTGGAACAGATGGTATTACATATAAATTTTACAAAGAATTAGCAGAAGAAGTTAGCATAACATTTGAAAAAGTGTTTAATGACATTATTGTTATGGGTCAAATACCAAAATCGTGATGTAAAAATATAATTACATTAATTCTCAAGAAATCAGAAAATTTAGAGAATATTGGTAATTGGAGACCTATATCATTGACAAACTGCAACGTAAAATTTTTATGAAGATCATAGCCAATCAGTTTAATAATATATGTCAGAAAATAATAGGCTTTCACCAACAAGGTTTTGTCAAAGCAAGATCTATTATAGACTTGATAATAGATATTATGACTGTTATAAGGAATCAGAATAGCCAGACAAATTAATATTGAATGCTATTTCTTGACCAACAAAAGGTATTTGACTATGTTAGCTATAAATACTTACAGAAAGTGCTAATGAAAATGAAATTTGACCCCAAGTTCATACAAATAATAAAGATACTATTTACGGAGCAAATAGCATATATAACAGATAATAGAATAATCTCTGAATCTTTTAGAATTAGTTGAGAAGTAAAGCAGGAGGACCCACTTTTACTTCTCTTATATATAGTTGTTTTTAAACCTTTTCTGAGAACCCTAAGAGAAAATTATTAGGTATTCCAGTGAACTAGCAGAGGTTTAAACTGACAGCATATGCAGATGATCTTACTCTAAGTATAACTTCATATGCAGAATAGGACACTCTGGCTAGCTTGATCAAACAATATAAGGATGCTTCTAATGCAAAAATCAATAGAAAGAAGTCAGTAGTTGCTTCACTAACCATGAACTTCTGATAAATTGAACATCCAGAGATAAAAAAGTTTAAAATATTGCTAGAAAATAAAACTATAACAGTGCTTAGATACAATTTGGATTATCAAGAGAAATTGAACAGAAATATATGGTCAAAAGCAGTATCAAAACTCAAAAATAATTTAAAGATATTCTTGCAATATAATTTATCTCTCAAAGGCAGAATTCTTATTGTCAAAACTCTACTAATATCAAAAATTTAGTATATTGCTTATCTTGTACTACCTAAAAGGAAACAGTTAACAGAGATCAAAGATCTTTTAAGAAAGTAGATTAAAAATAACTCTAAGTTTCTTTCAAGATTTTCAATTCTACAACAAGATCTTAAAGACAGAGGCCTTAATACCCTGATTTTGAAAGACTTGTTTGATGCTAGACTACTTTTCATATTAATAAAGCTTTGCACAAGTAATAACTAGTAGACCAAAATAGAGAGAGAAATAATTAATATAAGGCTATGTAATAAAAGAAATACTATAGCAATAAGTGCTCTTAATACAAGACAAATTCAAAGTAAAGCATAGCCAGATTACTAGAAACCTTTATGTTAGCTTGAAAGAGAGTAGAAAGCAAAATAAACATAGAATTAAGGAACTGGCCATAGAGACTAGATAATTTGAAAATAGCTAGCATATCTGATAATAAATATACTGTCAATAAAACTATTAAATTTTTAAAAAGAAAATTATTAATACAAGTAAACTCACAGGCAAATGAAAATACATGCAAAGAGAACAAGGAAATGTAGAAGTGGAGATTGACTAAACAAATTAATAACAAAAAAAAAGATATATTCTGATAATTTTGTTACAAGTTATTACTGTTAAAATATAGACTAAAACACATAATATGTAATAATAACAGTGAATACCCAATATGTAATGAAGGAACTCAAACTCTTGAGCACTTTGGAATAAGGCGTATAATCAGTAATGAAATATAGAAATTTATATACTCATTTATGCTCGGTACTGAGAAGTTTCTACTAATGACTCTAGAAGAGATCATCACAGCCTCAAACATTCGAGATGTAACAAAAAAGAAAATAGTAATATAGCTCGATATTAATGCAATTTATGAGATTTGGTGCTATTATACACAAGTTAGATGGGAAAGGGTGGCTATTCCTAGTCCTATTCTTCCTACGATTATTAAAAATAGAATCATAAAAGAATTTAAGATATTAGAATACAGCAAAATAAGCAATAAATAAATACTATCTGTATATAGTAATGAATATATGATCCTGAATTAATAATAATGAATACTACATAAATACAATATAATATAATAGATTAATTAAATAAAGTACAACATCTAACATCTCCTCACGAGATATAAAAAAAAAAAAAATTTTTAGTTTTATATTACGTGAAATCTGAAGCTAGTAGTTTTCTTCATTAGTTCTATCAGATACTTTTGGGTAATTAACACCTTTATTAGAAATGTCAAATATTAAAAAGAAAATGAATAGAAAATAGGTAGTCATAATAATACAACAAAAAAAATATTAACTTCACATATTCAGTTATTCTATATAAAAAAAAATAATTTTTTTATACTTCATTAGTCGTTATAAGTTTTGTCAATCATCAATTCATCATTCAGAAATTGCTTGATGAAAGGTTTTATTATTTGTCAATAATGAAAGTTTTATCATTTGTCAGGTATCTTTAGTAGTGATGCAAATAGTTAGTAGCTCTAACCGGAAATAGCTAGCTAAAACAAAGCTAAGCTATATTTTAGTGGGTCGCACTTTAGCTAAGCTATTTTTTAGTGAGCTAATCAAAAGCTATTGCTTCTATTTTTGTTATAAATTTGTATCATAATTGTTAAAGCCTACTGTAAGAGGCTGTATATATATTGGTACAAGATAAAATGATAGCTAGATGCTTTTAGCAGAAATTGTTTTATACTTGTAGAAATATTTTGACATTCAATATTTAGTATAACAAAATTCTAAAATAATGTAATACATATAATATTATTGATTAGCGAGTATTCAAACTTGTTAATATTTATGGATTTTAAAATAGATTAATCCAAAAATGGTTGTTTTTATTCACAAGCCATTTAACAAGCAGGTTTATTTATTAATTTCCAAATGATACCTGTTTGAAATTTTTTAATTCATTATTAATACTGCTTCATTTTTGGTAGTGATTATTTTTATAAGTTGATACTGTATTTACTTTTTAGATATAGATTAACAATAAAAATTTCTTCCAATTTCCCAGAATGGGATCATCTAAAGCCATATATTAACATGACTTTTTGTGTCAATTAGATTAATAAAAAATGAACGAAAAGTTAAAAATATCAAAAATAGTAGTCTAAACCTGTTTTGGAGTATTAATAAAAAATATCAGAAGACAATTTTACTATATATAAGCCTTATCTTTAACTCTAAACTCTAAGATTAAGAGTAAAAGGTACTATTTTAAAATTATATATAAACTTAATAGTAAATTTTTTTTATATTTGATTTTATAAAAAATTATATTAAGTAAACTAATTCTAATATATATAAAAAGTTTGTAGAGTAGATTTTTCTAATTTTAATAATAGTAAAATTATTAAAATTAGTTAAAAATTTGATATAAATTTTTAAAGATTAGATATAAAAATTTATTAATATTTATTAATTAAATTAAGGATTTTATAATTTAATGCCTATGTGTTGTAATGCTAACTAATCAAATCGCAGAATCAGGTCAAAAATAATTTTTTAAAGAAATTGATTGTAACTCAATTTTTTGTTTATGAAATCTCCTTTTGTATTCTAATAAAAAAAATTTATTGCAAAATTTTGGGTTAGAGATATTTCGCTATTGCTCTTCTCTAACTCTAATTAGGCTGTTAATTAGTTTATCTAGTCTGATCTAGTCTAAAGATCACTAGTCTTTAAAATAAACCAGACCGGACTACAGCTTAGGACCAAATAGGACCAATTAGTATCAGATCAGATAGACCAGTTATTATATATATAAATTTTTAAAGAGGTTATTGAAATTATTGTTATCTATCTAATTAATCTTCTATAAATTTAATTTATGTGCAGAACTACTGCAACTGCTAAAGAAATTTACTTAATATTAAATAGCTTAAATTTTTTGAATAATTAAGTATATCTAAAAAAAATCATGATTTACTATTCATTTTGCTAGACTTTTATTTAAATTCATAAAATTCTTTACACTTAATATTAATACCCTGCATTATACTTTAAAGTAATTAGATAATTGATATTATCAGATTCATTTCTAATCTAACAATTATTTGGTAGCTTAATAGCAATAACTGATTAAAACTATTGATGTATTATTATTTTTTTAAGTTATTGAATTATAAATAAAACTTTCACTAAAGAATTCCTTATTTTTACAAAAATGATAAATATGTATATATACAAACTTTAGAATTCTTTCCTGTTTTGAATCTTGACAATTACTTGACAAAAATTGATATAAAAATACTTATCATTTGACAACTCACTGAATACTTGTTTCTCACTCAATTATAATTTATACTTATATATGTATAGTATATATTATTTTTGTTATATTATGATATTCAAATATTCATATAAATTAAATAGAATAAAATCATATAAAACTTCTATAAATAAAAAATAATTATGATCAACTATAACTGATGTTTCTTTGTTGTTCGATAAACAACTATTTTGTATTTCATATTAGAATTTCTTGAGTTTGAATTACTATATAATAAAAAAGTTTTATTGCCAACCAGAATTAAAATTTAAAATAAAATTTTTTATCATCACTGATTTTAATAATTCAGTATTTTACTTGTATATTGCCTATATATTATACCAGGAATGATATGATATTGAAAATTTCATGAAGTATATGGTTATAGAGCAATCCAAATAGTGTGCGTTTACAAAATCTTCATGCTTATTGGATAATACTATAGCTTCATAGCTATTTTTTTTACTAGATTTATTTATGAAATATAGTAATTAAAAATAATATATAACGTATAGTTTCTAAATTTGTATAATGCATGTACAGGTTTATTTACTTGATCAGTGAAGTAACTTGTTTAATTTAGTGAACTAACTGTAAAAATTTCATGATCATCATTTGATAACAAGTTTATTGACTAGTACTCTATTAATTAATTATCAAGTGTAATTATTATCTCTAAGGATCAATATTACTGATTATATTATATGTTCATTACTATTTCTGTATTAATAGTTTAAATTTTTAATTCTATCTATTTGAAATTATAAACATAAAACACTTTTTGGTATTCATAAGTACTTATTTCATTAAGATACTTATTTATGATTAATTGTCAAATAGCATATGAGTATAAAAATGATCTATTATCAATAATCAGTAGAATTAAATTCATGAACATAAAATACTTATTTATAATACTTATTTCTAGATATATCTATGTTTAATTACTTAACACCTTTCAGATAGATGTAGAATTGAAATTATAAATATAAATACTTATTTGTAATATTTATCTCTTAAATTAATAAATAAGTTAGGTAGTGCAAAGTACTACTAATTACTCAGGTAGTAGATATAAAAGTTATTAAAATAAAAACTCATACATATACAGCATGTAGTCTATTTTATAAAATTTAGTTATACATATTATATATAATATCGATATATTCTAAACTTAATTTTATTAATTTTATTTCTGGTTTTATGTGACTGAATTACGCAGCTACTTATGAAATAAGTAACTTGATTTTTATGTTATTATTATCGTTATTACTTAATTTTCACCAACTCTTAATTTATATTAGTTTAAATTTCAATAAGCAATCTTTCTCAGTAATACAATTTTTGATTTTGTGACTTCTACTAATTTTAATTTAGATTAGCTTATTTCTAATCTTTACCAAGGTATATTATATAATATATATATATATACATAATATCTGTTTATGTGTTAATTATTAAATCTTTCACATAGTGTTAGTTTTGGTTATATATGCCCTGCATATACTCTAGAATATATATAGTATTGTATAAAATTTCAGAATTGTACAATATATTCATTCAATTATATATATACTCCAGAATAGTAGTTAAGCATACTCTTTATTATATTCTTAGTATTATTTTGGCATGAACATGTTCAAATGCCTTATGATTCAGATAACAGACTGTATTAAGTAGAAGCTTTGTCGAAAGCTAAAATACTTGTCTTTGATAAATGATTTAATTAATAGTCAGATCTGTTAAATTATTAATACCTTGAAAAACTTTTTAAAAACAGCAGAAAATTGCCACTATATTATCAAGTTTGCATATTTCCTGTTGTTTTATCAGAGTTAATAGAGATACACCTATGTTTAATTCAATTAAAATCTGAAATTTTGAATAGATATTATAATAAGATTATAGAATTAATTAAATTTGGGATTTGATACTAATACCTGCAGGTTTAATAAATAATTAATTCAATTTAGCAAGTAATTTAATTACTAATTTATGATTAAATTACTTGTAAAATTGAATAAATTATTAATCTATTGGTATAAAAGTAGCATTAACGTTAGTAAATTCTTTATAAGAATAAAAGTTTAATAGTTCTCTATTCGCACCTTTTATTTGTGAATTATATCTTAATTATGAGTCAAGATCCTATTTTAACTCACTCAAGAAATCAAAATGTTAATAAAACATTATATAATGATCTTGATAATTCAGATATTAGTAGTGATCTAAATTCTAATAATGAATCAGATTACTTTGATGAGTTCGAAATAGCTCAAGATATGGAAAGTTTAAATAACTTTAATAATATTGAAAATATTCAAGAAAATGAAAGCTCAGATATTGAGATGCATAGCAATACATTAATGCAACAAAATAAAGATTCTACAACAGCAAATACTTCATTAAATAAATGATTATTTTCATATGTATAGGATTTTTTTACAATTCTTGATAATAAACAACGCCAATATAATTATTGTAAAAAAATATATAGTCAATAAGTAGCTGCGCAACACAGTTGTGCAAAACCAGGAATGAGAAAATTGGTATATTATCATATCAGATATTATGTATAGATAGAACTTTAAGAGTATTTTTTATATACATGTTAGTTTTTGATAGC